TGTGTGTGTGTGTGTGTGTGTGTGTGTGTGTGTGTGTGTGTGTGTGTGTATGTGTGTAAATGTTTAATTTTTAATAACTATTTCATTTTTAGTTGGACCATGTGCTTTAGATTATTCGCGTACTAAGTCACATGATCAATTTTGGACAGACCCACCTGCTGATGAATTAGTTCAAAGACACCGTATATCAAGTGCTTATCATATATCTCCACCTTGTCGTACTCCTATAAATGTATGTTGTTTTTAATTATTTTCTTAAAAATAATATTTTATATTTATTTCCAATATTTTAACTGTCATATCATGTTATTAAAAAACATTAATTAATTTGATAACAACACGGTGTTTAAAATGTCTTACATCTATATCTTAATTTCTTAACACACTCAAACGAATATATAATTCATTCAAAATATTTCAGTACCGTAGAAACCTACATGCTACAAGTAACGATGATAATCAAAGACAGCCTCCTATATCTGCTAAGGACTACGTGGAATCATTGCACCAAAATAATAGAGTTACTTTACTATACGGAAAAAATAATGTTTTAGTTCTACCGGTATTAAATTATTTGTCTATTTTAATGTTTAAAAGCACATAAAATTACATATAACGTTTGAATTTATAAATGTTTACTTATAGAAGGACGTAACTGAACCAATGGCAGGTTATTTATCCCTGCACCAAACTGCTAGCTCGTTAATTATAAAATGGACTCCAAATCAACTAATGAATTGTCATTCTCCTGGTACTAACCAGAACGATCATCCTGAAGTCGATCCAAACATCAAAAGGTTAGTAGGTATTCATACTTTATATATTTTTACTTTATGAAGATAAATATATTATACAAAAATAATTTATTATTAAATGCACTAACACTAATATAATATATTAAATATTATATATTATATATATATATACAATTAGATATTAATAATTATATTATAATTGAAAGAGTTTTCATTTTATATTATATTAAAGTAGATATTATAAACTATCAAATTATTTTATATTATGATTAGAACCATGTTCTCTCAACATTTCGATTTTATGTATAACAGTAAAATAAATAAAATGTAAGTTATGTCTGTCGAAAAGTGCTTACGTTATATGTTATATACGAATGGTTGGCTTGATAAATTTAAATCACACTAGAATGTGAACAAATGTCATATAAAAGTCAAACAATTAATTTTTTCTTATAAAATATTTTTAACATGGATGGAACAAAATTATTTTATAAAATTCTTTTTAATAAAATATTAAGTTTTAAAAATGAAATTTGTACTTCTGGGATAAAGTATAAAAGATTATTGACAGTCATGTTATGCATAAATTTCATAGGTGAATTTGAAAAATCACTAAACATAAGGTAATCTTAAATACTTCGTTGTTTTAAAAATATGGACATAAAACTTCTAAACCTACACTGAGAGGTAAGTAAAAAAATTATAGGTGACACGACTTATAATGACATGTGTTTAACGGAGCAATTTAAAAACAAAAGGTACATTTAATTTGTCTTTAGATAATTCAACATCACATCATCATTTAAAATTAAGAAATAAAAATTTAATATCTTTACCACCAAATACAACATCACATTGTCAGCTTCTAGAACAAGGTATAATACGAAATGTTTAAGTTATTTATCGATGGATAATACTTAAGCGAATATTATCACTGATCGAAAGGATGCTGACGATCTTGCAAAAATTATTATTATATTAGATGCTTTAATGTGGATTAAATAGCCTGTAGTGCAGGTTATTGTAATTGTAATTATTGTAGGTTATTATAGAATTGTTATGTAATAACAGGTATTTGTGTCGCTACATTTTTAAAAAAAATTCCGTTTTTTTTTTTTTTTTCTAAGAATATTTACAATCTGTCTCTGTGAGTTAGTATTATAAGTCTTATTCTTTTTAGTACTATTTTTTTGAACAGTTCGGCTAAAGTTGGGAATAAATTTATTGGTCTGTAGGAAGATGCTAGAAGTTATTGGCTTATTTAGTTTTGGTATGAGTACCTATTACAGTTGACAACTTCAATATTAGTAGGATATAAGAGAATCTTAGCATAGCATTGAAGATAATAGTAATTAGAATAATAGGTTTGCGAGGTAGATTTTTGAGGACTTTATTAGTAGTTAAATCATAACCTGGTGATTTCCCATTTTTTAGTTTTTTAATGAGGAACAATATTGCATTGGGGGGGGGGGGGTATGTTTAGAAGGTAATGACATAGGCAAAAGACTGTTAGTAAATTTTTCGACGGTTTATAAATGTTCAGAATTGGGTATTATGTTGACGTGTGGTGTGAAAATGTTTGATAAATGCTTACCTACCGAATAGCTTTATCAATATTAGAGATGGCTAATGTGCCATCTGAGTCAGTTAAGGAAGGGTGTTGTTCTCTTATTCTAAGTAAATTTTTAGTAGTTTTCTAGAGAGATTCGTCTATTTCGTTTAGCAATATGTATTTATTTTCAAAAAATTCTGAATTGTTTTTTTAATATTGATTTTTTTTAAATATTCGCGAGATGGTTAAACAGTTTTTTATCAGATGGATAATGATACTTTTTCTATCTAGAGTGTACTCATCGTTTTTCAGAAATTAGATTGATAATATTTTTAGGAAGATAATTATTGTTTGTGCTAGTTTTATATAATTTATTTTTTGGATATGAGGATTCGATACAGCAGTTTATATTGAAGTTAAAAGATCTTGAGTAGTGCATTATACATCTTTCTTATTTTTAAGAGGGATTTTTAGATAAGTTGTGTTATATGCATTATATCGGAAAATTTATCTTATTTAATAGGGCCTTGAGATAATTATAGATGAGGACAGTTTGAATCTATTGAAACATCCATAGTTAAAAGAACGGGGGGTGTGATCTGAGCTTAGGTCATTTAAATTAATAAGAGAATGCTCTGTGTCTAGGTAGTGATGATAGAAAAATTCGAGTGTATCTGAGTGCCTATTTTGGTGTTAAGGCCAAAAGTAGGGCCTTTTGTACTTATGAACGTATATGATTTATTTTTTGGTAAATTTTTGAAGTATTTTGCCTATTTGATTTTTTTAAATACATCACCATTGTGGATGTTAGGCATTAAAGTCACCATCGGCCAAAATATATTGAAATATATTAGAATTGATTTATTTGTCTTTAGGCTGTAGCCGAATAGAAAGGGAGATAGACTGAAGAGATTTCGGTAGGAATGTGGTTTAGTCATATCTGTATATTAGTTGATTAGATGATGGGAAGTTGAACATTTGAAAGCAGTTGATATTGTATTTTGGAAGATAGTATAATAGCAGATTCAACGTGGGCGGTTTTGCTTCAGTGATAGGTTCTGAAAATTTTAAAACCAAGAAAGAAGAGTTTAGTATTTGATTTACAGCGGGTTTCTGTTATGAGAGCTATGTCTATATATTTTTCTACTAATAAGTGAGGTAGTTTGGATTAATGTTGTTTTAGACCATTTGAATTCCATAATAGTTTTTTGAGTATATTTAAATTTGGATTGTTATTTGGCATTATTTATAAGTTTATCTATTACTGTTGTGAATAGCGATATGAGCAGATTTATCATTGATTTGAATTCGGAAATGAAAGAGAAAAGTATTAAGGCTACATCTGACTCAGATTTATTTATAGTTTAATTTGAAGGAGAATATTTAGATGTGGTGGGATAGATAGGTTGAGAGATTAGCTTTGGGAAGGATGAGGTGTCACTTATATTGAGTGAATTATGGTTGGTTTCAACGCCGGAATCCTCCCCTTTATTTACAATAGAACTATATTTCACTTTATTTTTTAAATTATATTTTTTGTTTGAAGCATTTTTACCATAATGGAGATTTTAAAGATCTTTGTGGACTTGGCAACCTGGGTAGTTAGCCGTGTGGTTACCACCACAGAGGATGCGTGTTGGTGGTTCGTCCTTGGGTTTATTGCAGGCGGAAGTAAGGTGATCACGTCTAATACATCTTAGAGGGTGGGCACAGTATGATTTGGAGTGATCATATTTCTGACAGTTTATACATTGTATAAATGATACAATAACGTATCATTGTACGTTTTTTTTTGTCAGGTTCTTCAAATTTTATTTTTATGTTCGGTATAGAGGTTATATGAAAAATATATTTATTTATTTCGGCAGATTCCAGGTCAGTGAAGAAAATTTGTTTGTAGTGATTTTGTTTAAGACATTAGATACATTATGGATTTTGAAAGGTCCGATTTCATCGATTGTAATGCCTATTTCCGTTTATGAAGTTGATGGGTGGATATTGCAAACCACAATTCGGAAATAGGAGTTGAGAAATGGCTATGGGAGCCGGCGACTACTGTTACGTATTTTATATAGCAATTATATTTACCAGTTTTTTTTGGAACGAGCAGAATTTACGTTGTTATAAATTCCTTTTGGAAGAGATAAGTGTACTCAGTTTTCTTTTACGCATTCGTAGGTACCGAAAACGTCGCGTTTCGTTGTTTGTGTGAAAAGAAAAAAAAAGCAATAAAGTTTAGAGGAATACACGCGTGTGCATCAAACGATATTCCGTACGACATAGAGGTTTGTCTTTAAAAATTTTCCTAAAGACAAAAATAATACAGTTCTTGAAAATGAAATAATTTTTGGTGAAAAATTAGTTAATATGCTAATATGTTTCCAAATCTTATGTAAGGTGTTTGTATGTATGTAAGAGTTTTTTTTCGCTCGACAGAAATCTGATATAGCATTGTTATCATGTCATTCATAACTACAAATAATGACGAGTAGGAAACAAATGATGAAATTGAAAAACTTGAGTACAATGTATTAAACAATTTTGTGATTTTTTATAAAAAAAAACAATTAACAACTTTTACTTTTCACATATAGATGGTTATAATATGTTAAAAACCATAGAAATTAATTTAAAAAAAAAAAACTGTGTAAATAATAAAATTATTTTAAAATAAACTAATATTAAAATTATTATATTAAATTTTATATTTTATATAAATATTATATTAATAATATATTATATTATTATAATATAATTATTATAATATATTATTAATTATAATAAATATTTATATATTTTATATATATTTTAATTTTCTATATAATTATATTAAATTATATTAAAACTGTACCTACATTATATCGTAAATCATAAATACATTTTTTAATACTTATATTAATATGTGTTATTTATTTAATATTTGTATATACTATTTAATGATCCCTCGAAAAGTATTGAACTTCTATTATTGGTCACCTCTGTATGACGGGCACCTTCGGTGACCGTTTTATGAAAGATCTACTATAGGTATTTACAATTATGTCTATATTTATAACGGTATCCGGAATTCTTATGTACTTCATCAATTAATTTATTACCTTCCGATGATGACAAGTTACAATACTAAATATATTATTATTAAACCAGTATGGCAGTATCCACCAATCTACTCAGTAGCGTAGTTGGAGTTCAATTAAGGAAGCTATTTCAAAATATCTCGAGAATAAATCAGTGTTAGGATTTATCTAGATAATTATTTTTTTATCTTATATAAATAAATTTAAATTATCTAAGTATTTATTTTAGCTAAAAATATCACTTATCTAGATAAATTCACATGATAAATTTTTGTGTGAAAATTAATTAGATCTGTTCGAAAATGTTTCATTTTTATTTCCATTGTCTCAGGCACAACTTATACGTAAAATAGCATACCAGGCTAAAAATATATGACGTTATTCTGAAAAGACTATACATTATTCTACACATAAGATATGTAGATTATACATAAGTAGTCTATATTAGATTATTACACGACCGATGTTATTTCCCAGAATTTTATAAATATTTTTAAATTATAATTAAAATACGAATAATAGAAACAGACGACTAGTTATAATCACCGCCATCCGTCAAACAAAATTCCATATAATATAATATTATTAAAATTTATTTATTGAGAAATAAAGATAAACCAGCCGTTGAAGACAATTGATAAGTCTGAAAAGCAAATACGTTAGATGCTATTAATCTACTTTGGGTTTTATATTTTGTAATAATTATAAATAAATCTGTATATATAAAACAGTAAGCTGATTGACTGCTATCAACACACAGCTCAAACCATTGGACGGATCTGGCTGAAATTTGGCATACAGATAGCTATTATGATGTAGACGTGCGCTAAGAAAGGATTTTTCGAAATTTTGAATTTAAAGGGTTGAAATCGGTTTAATATTTTTTGACCAGGTCGATAACTGCGCTATTGAAAATGAATTATATTAAATAAAACTATTAAAAAATTATTAAAAAACTATTAAAAACTATTTAAAAACTATTAATTTTATTTTTGGTAGTAAATGACTGGTAGTAAATTGTTCACAACATACTGTTGTCCCCATTGTTAGCGATGGTGCCTGTTTATTCCGAGCTCTTTCTTTTTTTAATACACGGAACACAAGACAATGCGATGGAGGTGCGATCACTAATTGTTGGACATGTGGTGAATGACTGGACCAAGTTTTCATTTATGTCCCACAATAGAAATGGTGATAATTACTCAACGGCCAATGAATATTATGCTGATATGATAAAAAATGAAACTTATGGTGGGCTTTGTGAGTTTATAGCAGCGGGATGTATATTTCCATTTAATTTTAAAGTTTATCGAAATGGTATCTTATACACGGAGTCCGGATCTAATGATTGTCCAGTAAAGCTTTTACGATTTGGACAAGATTTGCCCATTGGACATTTTGATGCTTATCTTCTTACTGCGACAGAAAACAATACTCAGAGTCGTATAGAGAAACTGGTCGATGAACGCGAACATTCACCTATTGCATCTTCAGTACACAGTAACATTTCTGCAAACATTTCACTATCCCAATCAAGTGAAACAGATCAATCTATTTCGTCCTGTCGAAAACGAAGGGCTAGATTTACTAATTACACAAGAAAAAAAACAAATAAAAAAAGCACAAAAAAAATATAGACAGAATCAAACTGAATTATAAGGAAAATGTATAAGGAAAATACTACTATGCGTCTATGGAAAAGCAAGATGCATTCAGGTATGGCATATGATCTAGATATTGCATATAGAACTGACACCTGTGTAGTTTTGGGTTCTATGACCTATAAGTGTCAGTGGTGCAACGCTTTGAAGTGGAAACATGAGACACTTGGTATGTGTTATAGCACCGGAAAAGTACAACTTGAGAGGTTAAAACAACTACCTGAACATCTCTACTGTTTGGTTAACGCACGTGGTACCCGGACAGGACGCACAGTACCTTCAAATCTATTTTGTCGGTGAAGACGAACGAGAAGTAAATATCCTAACTTAAAACCCATATATAAAAGATCTGAAAAGTGCCATCGATAAAATACCTCCTTCAGAGTCATTTAAAGTTGTAATACATGCAGATAAAAAACCACCAGAAGAACATAGAGGCAGGTATAATGCACCAACGGCAAATTAAGTTGCTTTAGTGTTAGTAGATCAGCAGTTTGATCGAAGAGACATCATCCTCGAAAACCGAAGTAACTCACTTCACCGTATCAGTGAGATACATCGAGCATACGACGCACTGCAGTATCCTTTAATGTTTTGTTGGGGGGATGATGGGTATGCAATCAATATACCACAACGCGATCCAAAAACCAAGTTTGAATACGCCAAAATTGAAACTGAAAGACTAAATTACATCAAAAACAACCAAGCCAAATTGCGTGCAGATAGTTATATTCATTTAAAAGATGCGATTGGACGACGAGACATAGAAGCTAATCAGTTAGGCCAAATGGTTATACTCCCGTCAACTTTTACTGGTGGGCCAAGGTACAAGCACGAAAGAACACAAGATGCTATGACCTACGTTAGACATTACGGTCGTCCTGACCTTTTTATTACTTTTACATGCAACCCTCGCTGGGACGAGATAAAAGAGCTCTTACTTCTCGGTCAAAGATCATATGATCGACATGGTATAATTGCAAGAGTGTTTCGGTTAAAAGTCAAAAAGACCATGAACTTATTGACAAAAGGTAAAATATTCGGAGAAGTGAGATGCTATATGTATTCAACAGAATACCAAACTGTAGAGAGGTTCAGATAGTTGTAAGCTATAACTTATCGAATAGGTTATGATAATAACTAATTTAATATGTATAAAATATTATTTCAAAAATCTTAATTAATTTAAATTTCAATAGATTTAACAAAATTTAATCTTGGCAGGTTACATACATTTATATACTTAAACCCGGCAACGACGGGTAATTCAGCTAGTGGACTATAAAATATCTATCAACTAATTTTAACATGCACATGATGATGTACAATGAAACATTATTTCGTATACACAAATACACTATTATACCTTTATTTACATTAGGTGTGTGAAGTTAGTGGAAAAATTCGAGCTCTAATTTCCGCTATGGCACCATTATTTAGTGCTGAATTAGTGCTATTCAATTCTACCGTTTTCGAAATTAGTGCTATATACAGTTAAAAGTTACAAGGGGGCTTACTTTTTTCCGCTAACTTCACGTAGCGGGTGCACCATCATTGTCTTTGTATTGTATGTTGTATTATTTCATTTAACAATACTTGAAAATGTATTAAATACTATACCTGACTGTTTCTTTAATCAACTGTGTAATTTTTATTAATGTCAACTTATATCTTTAATATGTGCTTTTTAGATTAAAGTTTACTATAATACGTAATATAATTTTTAATATGTAATGCCATGGGTGAAAGAGGTTATACGTAGTTTTTTCCTAGATTTTTATAAATATTACTATTCGTATTAACACACTGTGAAACTTCAAAATATTACATATGAATACCAATAACCACTTGTAGTAATCTCTATACGAGTAGTTTATGAAATATTTAAATAATGTGTCTTCATTATATTTACGATTAAAACTCAGAGTAAAAGAATAATCGATATATTCTGTTTGGTTTTTTTTTTTTTTTTAATTGCCAATTATAATTTTAATAAAATGAAAATGCATCTAGTTTACAATCCAGTGTGGAACGAAGTGTACCTTAAAAACACAATTTTAGATTCTGAACGGTGCGTTGAATATATTTTTTTGTAATGGTATATTTGGGTTTTATTTTATTTATTTATTTATTTTACTTTTTTGATCTGTGTACACCATAAGTAGTCGTAATAATTATGCTTCGATATTCAACTACAGTATCTTGTATGATGGAAGAGTGAGTCTAGTTGGTGTATTGGAAACCGTCAAATAGCACCAATTGAGCACTAAAATTTAGTGCTATCGCGGATTTTAGTGCTGAGGGTGCACCAGCTGCGACGAAATACGGAAAATTCCATATCTCAGAGGGAAACACAGCACTAATTTCGAAAACGGTAGGGTCGAATAGCATTAATTGAGCACTAAAATTTAGTGCTATCGCAGATTTTGGTGTTGACGTTGCACCCGCTACGTGAAGTTAGCGGAGAAAAGTAAGCCCCCCTTGTAACTTTTAACTGTGTATAGCACTAATTTCGAAAACGGTAGGATTGAATAGCACTAATTGAGCTCTAAATAATGGTGCCATATCGAAAATTAGTGCTCAAATTTTTTCGCTAACTTCATGCACCTATTTATATTTAAGAAAAAGTTGTATTACTTAATTTGAAGTATTTTTTGTTTCTTTGATATATAATTTTCTTAATAATGTTTATATTTTATTATAACCTGAATTATTTCTAAAAATATTAATTAGGTGTATTTTGTTTTTGGTTCACATGACTTCTACTTTAGAGTAGGTTGACTTCCCTGATTTTTATTTATACTTTTGTTACTCCTTAATCCCTTATTGGTTACTTATATAATATGTGTTGATGTTAATGTTTGGTGATACACAAATTGACATAATAAATTAAGATAAAGGTAAACATATTATACAGGCATGTACATGTACTTACATGATATATACATTTTTTCAAATTAGTTATTTCAATTTTAATTTCTATAATTATCTGTAACTTATCTAGAAAAAATATTTTTATCTTTTATCTTTATCCAGATGATTTTTTTATTATCTGTTCCTAACACTGGTATAAATACTATATTATTTTATTAGGCTATAGACTTTAACCGTGATTAACATATCACCAATAAAAAATTCCAAATGGAGGGACAATTCACGCATCACCCCTCTCCCTTTAAGTTACACCCCAGAACACACCACTAAATAGTGATAGTACAATAGTTCCAAAATAATACCTTCACCACGCCAATGTACTTATCCCGAGATTATGTATAAAATGAATTATTTTAGTTATGGAATAACTTCTATATTTTTTATATTTTACAGCATGAATTATACGAATTACATTTTACGTATTATCAAGTATAGTATTACATTTTAGTTTTAAAATTTTAATATCTCATAAGAACTAAATGTTGTATGGAAGTGTAGAATATAGTAATACAGCCTTTTATTTCAACATTAAGAAAATTTAAATATTAATATGAATTTATTGATTAATATTTAACTTTAAACCCAATGTAATAGTAATTTTCCCCTTCTTATTTTGTTATTATAATTTTTATAACATATTCTTGAATATTTTCTAGTAAATAATACAAGCCATATAGATATTGTTACTGTATAAAATATAATTCCATTTAAAACTATATATACTCGTATCTGAAAAATACTTAAAAAAAATTGATTTACAAATTTCGTAATAGAGCTTTCAACTAATTTTAGTTTTTTTAATTTATTAGATGACTAATTTATTATTCGAGTATAATCTATAATTTAAATTTTCAAAACAAAATATTAAATAATTTTATAATATTTATTTTACTTTCTATATAACTTTTTGTTGTATTGTCTTAATAATTATAAAAGATATGTTGATGTACATTATATATACTCTTAAATATATATAAATACAGTGGCGCACGCAGAGGGGAGGTTAAGAAGTTGTAATTCTACAATATCTAGGTTAAAATTTACAAATTTTACAAGTTTGAAATATGAAGAGCTAGTATTGAATACTAGTATCTAGGAATAGTATCATTGATTATAGAATAGTCTATTCTATTATCAATAAATTATTTAAGTCAAAATATATAAAGGATTTGCATAATTTTGTTTATTGTAAATTTTTACCTTGACAACCCTCCCCCCCTCCCCGAAAAGTATCCAGTGTGCGCCATTGTATAAATAAGATTAATTCAGTACTAAATTAATATTTATAATTATTAATATCTATCGTTTATATTTTTAAATAATGTACAGAATATTACTTTAACTATATAGTATATACGTATGTTTTCAGTATTTATATACATACTAAAATAAGTATTGATGAAGTAATATATTTAAAAAAAAAACAGCATGTTATTTAATTGAACTTTACATTTTTCATAAAAGTAGTTTGTTATTAACAATATTGGATTTTTAAATGTTACAGCCAGTATTGGGACTATGCAATGAATGTTAATGTAGATGAAATAGTGTATGTCCATTGTCATCAACAAGGTATTTTACTAATTATGTAGTATTAAAAAAATAATTTTTATTTAATTTTGGTTGTTTTTTTTATAATAAAAAGTGTTATAAGTGTTACTGTTTCTGTACTGAGCCCTCATGGGCGTTTACTTTCAATAAATAAATAAGTATATACTTTATTTAATATAACAGCTATCCATCTAAATATCTATCATTCTATTTATATTAATGAAAATCGTTAATTAATTCTTGTACCTAATAATAAAGTATTATTAATAAACACCATTATGTAAATATTAAGTGAGAATTCATTTTTAATAGGTACGATATTTACCTCGATTTTCTTACAAGAAATATTTTATTATATAGTAGATTATGTTGAATTTTTATGTTAAACACTATAACAACTCATTTTTTTAATTAGATAAAAATTGGCATTTCTATACATTTTAATCTAAGTATTTTTTTTATTGAGTTAAATAAAAAATAAGGAATATTAAAGTTTACCCAATATTTGTTAGAATTTTATTCAATAGACATATCAATTGAATATATTAAATAACCACTAATACCTACCTAATATGTATTTGTAGGAAATGACAATGGCGGAACTATAGTATTAGTTGCACAAGATGGTGTGCAACAACCACCAATACATTTTCCTCAAGGTGGTCACTTACTAGCATTTCTTACTTGTTTAGAAAATGGTTTATTACCTCATGGTCAACTGGACCCTCCGCTATGGCCTCAAAGAGGAAAAGGTAATTCATTTTCATCTATTATTTATGTGAATGATAGTGTCTTAAATATAGTTGCTTATAGAGATAATTTCTATACTTTCATTTTAATAAGATAAGTTTATCTTATAAATATAATTTTACAAATAAATATATTTATAATATAAGTTTATTTTTGATTTATGAACACAGACCTTTGGTCGAAAACCATTGTTTTTGTTTTATTGCATTATATTAAAAAAATCCAAATAAAATAAATTTAATTAATTAAATGTACTTATTTTAGTGAACTTTAAACTTTTAATTAACCATATCTATTCTTATATAAATATATTTGTTTAGGAAAAGTATTTCCTAAACTACGTAGAAGAGGACGATCACAAATACAAGATATTTCAAATGATTTATCTAGTAGTACAGAAGAATCACGAGATTATGTATTTCAAATAATTAGTAAAGCTAGACATGAAGAATTTTGTAAGTCTTAACTTAATATAATATGATTTATTATAATAACATAAATTCTGTGTAAAGTAAATTTTTATTTTTTTTAGTATCTAGAGGAGAAGAAATTTTAGATTCCAAAATTTGGTCTATGCCTTTAGCTGCAAATAATATGCTTAACCGAGTAAGAGGTCATTTAGAGTCATCGTCAACTAATTCATCATCCTCTACATCTAGCAGTTTAGATCCTGTAGCGTCTCCATTATTAATTAGCAATCAAAATATGAATAAAGATACAGGGTAAAATAAAGTATTATATTTAACTTAATTTCACATTTTTATTCGTTTAATATTTTGATACTTTATAGTTGTAATGTATCTATATTTAATTAAAAATTACCTTATTATTATTTTTTATTTAATGAATTTAAAAAACTGATAGGTAACTGTAAAACTATTAACAAATTTAAAAACACCCTATCTATATTAATTTACTTTTTAAAGTATAATTTCTGAATATGTAATGTTTTTCATTCAATCATTAGTGATTCGTTACAAATATTATGCGAAACCATGAAGAAACAAATCATATCAAGAGCATTTTATGGGTGGCTGGCATATTGTCGTCATTTGACAACTGTACGAACTCATTTATCTGGTCTCGTCAATACTATAATAGTAGATTCTAATGAAGCGGAAGCAGGATTAACTAAAGAAAAATGGTATTCATTTAAAAATGACTGTGATCTTGTTAATGATGAAGTGAAGTTTGAAATTTTTAGACTAACTTATTTTGGTGGAGTTCAACATGACATTCGAAAAGAAGTATACTATTTATCTTGATGAATACTATAATTTATTATTTAATATATTTAAATTTTTAGGTATGGCCATTTTTATTAGGACATTATAAATTTGGAAGTACAGTTCAAGAACGCAATGCTGTTGATTTACGTTGCAAGCAAGAGTATGAAACAACAATGTCTGAATGGATGGCCGTTGAAGCAATTATCAGACAAAAAGATCGTGAAACTATGGCAGCTAATTTAGCAAAGCTTTCTAGTGAAAGTACTTCTGGTGGAGATGCACCACCGCCCACTCCAAACAACTCAAAAGTTCTTAGTCAGGAACTCAGTAATGACGTAAGAGTACAAATATTAGTAATGGATACTCTATTAAATAATTATGAAACACAGGTATTTGAAGATAACATAAATTTTTCATCTGATGAAGATAATCCTCCGGTGGTTGATGACACTCAATTAGAAAATAATATTGATTTGTGTGACAGTAGTATGTACCTAATGTTTCAAATTTATTATTAAACTACATTTTTATAAATGATTTTATTATTTTAGCAAATAATCATCCAAATGCAGAAAAGCATATAGAGAATTTGCCAAAAGTAATTGATTGTGATAAAGTAAGCTACAAAAAATTGGATTCATCTTATAATTATTTTTTAAATTTTCCATTGAGTGGAGATAAAATATATGCCTAAATATGTTATGTAATATTATTTCTCACCTCATCTTGTCACATTGTAACATTTAAGTTTTGTAAAACTTGAATAGGAACAAAATTTCCTGGTGGTGACAATATTGTCAAGAAGTTTAACAGGGAAATATTTTCAAATATTTTTTTGAGAAATGTATAATTTTTTTTTCATAGTATAATTCCATACTCATATGCACTTTAAATTTCAGAAATCGCTATCGTCAGATGAAGGATTGGGTAAAGACGAAGTTACTGAAAAAGAAATGACCATTAAAATTGGAATTAAAAATGAGTCTGAAAGTAAATATATTAAATTTATTAATTTACAATTTATTTTCTTTATTACACTATTAGGTATCTAAAAGTAAAATTGCTTTTCATATGCATCTTTAAGATTAATGATTAGATAGTAACATTTCCTGTTTAAATTTTAGTTATATTAAATTTTGTTAAAAATTCTGCAGAAACTTAAAAATTTTAGTTTCTACTTGGCTATGAACCTAAGAAGATACAATGTATTTATCTAACAGAAGACTGCCAGTATAAAATTAAAGATTCGTGTTAGTAAGATAATCGTAAATAGAATCGTAATAGAATAATCGTAAGATTATTAAAAAATTGATACATATGTGATCTATGTGATATATGATATTGTGAAATCTAATGGACAGCAGCTTAAATTCTTAGGTCAATATATTGTAGTTTAGTATTGATTTGTATCATGAAATGTTAATGCATTTAATCCATCTACTATGTAAAAAAATTAATTCCAAATTCAATCACTACAATTTATTTAAAAGCCTAATAGTAAAAACTAATTTTTTTCGTAACTATTTATTATTATATTTTCCTCTTGTGGAAGGAGATCAGAATACTTCGACGGTTCCTCAGCCAGTCGTAAGAGGCGACTAAATGAGGTTGCTTCAGGTTGAGCACCAGTGTAAATTTTTGTCAAATAGTATGAGCAGTTCAAAACAGTACATAGGCGATTTGTCCCATATTGGTTGTCCAGAGAAGTGACAAATAAGATAAAGTATCATAGTTAGTGGCAGAGGAGTCCTAGATGATGAATTGTGTGATACCAATTGGACAACTAATGTGGTAACTGATTCACCAATTATGAGTTCAGGTCTACCCAACACAGGTCATATCAACGGTGTAGGGACATCATCAATACGCCCTGGGTTAAATCTGCGTCTAGGTATGAAAGATAGATATAAAGTGAAAATAGGACATAGAATGTTGGTAGAACGTTAACAGATAGAAGTGTTGAGGAGGAGGAAAGTTAATATTTATTGTGGTCAGAAAACTAAGTGAAAAGGAAAGAAAGCAAAATAAATAGGAAAGGGCCATGAAATAATATATTCCGGTAGAAATAGTACTGGGAATAGGGTTGGAGTAATATTGGATGAGAAGTTGAAAGGAAAGTAGTCGATGTAGGAAGAAAAATTGATAGAATTATTATGGTAAAGTTGGTATTTGAGGAAAAATTATTGAATGTAATAAAAGCATATGCGTCACTATTAGGATGTGAAGAAAGAGAAAAGGAAGAATTTTAGTGAGAGGTAGATGAGATGATGCAAGGAATACCAGGAAATGAAGATACTGTAATTTGTGGTGATATGAATGGGTATGTAGGATGTATAGCATGGAGGGTATTGTTTTAGCAGAGGAATGAGGCTGGAAAAATGTTTGGTTTTTACATCATCACATGGGCAATAATCAATACATATTTTAGGAAACGAGAAGAACATTATATAACATATAAGAGTGAAAGAAGTAAGTCACATATTGATTATTTTATGTGGAAAAGAGACAGTACAAAAAGAGTAAATTATCGTAAAATAATTCCTGGAGAGAGTGTAATAACACAATATAAGTTGATGATAATAGAGGGTATATATTGGGTGATACAGTGAAACCTCGGTATCTCGAAGTTGTAAGGGACCAAAAAAAAAAAAATTCGAAGTATCGAAACTTCGAGTTAGAGAGGGAATTTAAAACATAAATAAAATTTGAAATAAAAATGTTTAATTATTGGGAAAAATGTGTATTTATAATATAGAATGTATTTATACATTGAATACATATTATGTATTAGTATTCGTCATTTGGATAAGTATACATTATTTTCTATGAAAGTAGAAAATCTGACATTTTTTTGTTTGTTTTTGTTTAGTATTAGAAGTATTTTCAATAAAACTACTTAAAATATTAAGTGCAGAAAAAATATTGTCAGAAACTCCTGACTGTTGTTGAACGTATCTTCGAAGTTCATTTATATAGTTTTCAGCTAGGGCACCACGTATGAAAGGTTTAACAACAGCAATTTCTTCCTCGTCGATTGCTTCATCGGCAGAATCTGTCTCTGGCTCACTGAGAAAATCAGATGTTTTAAAAATTTCTGCATCGGTTAAACTTTCTGATGTGCTCAAAGTAGAATCAATATCCAAAAATGATTACATACAACGTTGTGTGTATAAGCTTTGTCATTTAATCTTATATTTAATAGTCTGGGCATTTTATACGTTATCTAATCTGTCATATATTCGAGTTAGTGAATCATAATAGGTGGTAGGTACCGGATAATGATTTCGACTTATAGAAATATTCGGCATATGGAAATTAGATATAAGGAAATAACTGAGTACGTAAATCCAATACTGAATGATCGGGACTGAAAAAAAAATTCGACCAACAGAAACTTCGAGATACCGGAGTTCGAGATACCGAGGTTCACTGTATATGGTATAGAGGAAAAAAGGTGAATGTAATAAGTAAAAAAAGGAAAACCGGAAAGGAATTTAGAATTCGGTAGCACAAATTAATAGGAGACGAAGGAGAGTTTATAAAGAAAGTAAAAGAAAAGGCTGAGTGGAATGTTGAAGGAAATATAAATGAGATTTGGAAAAGAATGGCAGCTTGTGTTAAGAATATATCAGATAAAGCCAAAAGATTGAAGAAAAATTAGGTTGGCCCTAAACCCTTATTTGTTCACTGTGGTGATGAATGAAATTATGAGAGACATACAGGGTGATGTACCATGGTGTATGATGTTTGCTGATGATATTGTTTTGGTAGAAAAAAATCTGGAAGAATTTAACAATAGTTTGGATAAATAGAGATTAGCCCTTGAAGGAAAGGGATTAAGGATTAGAAAAAATAAAACAGAGTATAAGGAGACCAATAACAATAAGTTGGGATGTGATAGGTGAATTCGAGAACTTTAAATATTTAGGATGATTTGTACAAAAGGACAGGGACTTTGGCATGGATGTAAAACATAGAATTAAGTGGGGTTGGATGAAATAGAAAGAAGCGTCGAGCGTTTTATGTGATAAGAGAATGAGGCTGAAAGAGAAATTTTACTGGAGTGTAGTGAGCCAACTATGCTATATGGTTCAAAGTGTTGGGCGGTTGACAGGAGAATAGAACAGAGTATGAGTATTATGGAAATGCGAATGTTTAGGTGGATGAGTGAAGTGACAAGAGAAAATATAATAAGGAATGAACATGTGAGAGGTAGTATTGGTGTAGCCTCTATGGTGAACAAGATGAGAGAAAAAAGCTGAGATGGTTTGGGCATATGAAGGTATGAGAACCATTAGTGTGTATGTGTAGGGGATATAGAAAATCGAGATGAATGAAGGTTTAGGACAGGGACGTAGCCAGAGAGGGGGCCATGGGGTCCAGACCTCCCCCTCCAAAATGTCATTGACAAAATTTTTTTTAGAATCTGAGTGGAACGAAAATGCTAATGTTTTTACAATGATGTTTTTTTTGTACTCGTTAACCTAATAATTAATTATATGTTATGGAAAAAATTACAAAATAATACGGTTAGCACACACTTATCTATATATGTATAATAATTAGTAGGTACCTACCTAAGTTAAGATAGATTTGTAATATAATTATCATAATTGTCCTATATCAACTGACTAGCTCGTAAATTTTATCTTTTATTGTTATACTTATCGTATAATTTAAGCTGGGTTTACTCTATAGAGTAAGTTAGAAGCGGCGTTAGCTATCAAAACTGAAGCCAATCTGACGGTCATTGCCCCCATGAAGAGTCCAAGTACGATAATTTTCTCCGCTAGTTTCGCTGTCTTCAATTAATGAAAAATGATATGTATATACATACTTTTCGTTGAAAATAGCGCGACTAACAGTGAAAATGATCTTACTTGGACTCTTCAATTGGGGTCAATGACCGACATATTGGATTCAATTGTGATACATGGTTTTGATAGCTAACGCCACCTCTATCTTACTCTATGGTTTACACGTAACGATAAATGCTAGCAATTTATCGTAACGATCGAAATGTTCCAATCTATCGTTGCGTATAAATAGGACATTGTAGCGATTTATTAGAATTGGAATTGGATAGGATGATTGATGCCGATCGGCATCAATTTTTGCGAATCGGAACGATAATTTGAACGTGTAAACATGTAACAACCATTTATCGCTACAATTTGATTTAGTTTGCGTTGGCCGTTCACAGAGGATATTTCGTTTTTTCGTTGACAATTGTTTTTATTTTTACTCAAATGATCATGGCTAAACAAACACATTGTGACAATCAAACACCTCAAAACTTCTTGAGAGAATTTATTGAGCTATATCAAAGTTTTCCCTGCTTGTGGCTTTTTAAGAGCAAAGAATCTCGGACAAAAATAAAAAGGCCTTGCTTATAAAGAGATGGTTAAAAAGTAAAAAGAGTTAGATCCTTCGGCAGACAGAAACACTGTTGTAAAAAAAATTAATGCATTGCGTACGGTTTATAAAAAAAGAACTATCAAAAGTTAATAATCCGTCAAAATCTGTGGCTGGGTATATCTATAAACCTAGATTGTGGTATTTCGACCTTCTGCATTTTTTGAACGACCAGGACTCTGTAGAAGAAAACCTCTGCGGTCGACAAAGAATATTGGATAAGAAATCGTAGCGTGTAAACAGTATCCACTCTTTCGATTAATTGAAACAATAAAGACGACGATAAATTGTCAATCACATCATTACGATTTATCGTTGCGTGTAAACCCGTCTATACGATTTAATTATACGATTAAATTAATTATATTATTAATTATATAATTAATTATATGATTAATTTATACGATTTAAAACAAAATATATTATACCATATTAGTCTGTCGCCAATCAATGTTTGTATATTTTCATATAAACGTACCTACGGTAATTTATATTTCGATTTATTTCTGCTTCGTTTCTGTTTCATAATAATCAAATACAAAGAGAGGAGCACTTGACAATTTTTTTTAAACCAAAAAAA